TCAACCGGAAGCGGCGCTAACCAAATCCGCGCCGGCTTTCGGGGCTTGGCCCTTCTACGAAGCTGATTACGCGGAGTTCCCCGCGGAGCTGCAGCCGCTTTCTGAGAAAGACAAAGAGCTCGAGGTTTACAAGGCCACAGTTCAGCAGAGTTCTCAAGTTTCATGTCAAGCACGAGGCTTGCCGTAGGCTTACCGTGCTGGTTGCATGTTGCTGCCTATAGGTCGTGGACTTCGTGTCCTCGAGCGGCCTGACGCGGGCTTTCGCCTTGGCCAGCCGCTGGCAGAAGCAGAATTTGGGACGCTCAGCCGGCTTTGACCGCACCTTGGCAGAACTGAGTAGACTTGGACATTTCGTTTACTGCCAGTGACAGGGAGCTGCTTGGTGTGCAAGGACTGGGCGCCGGGGTCTTGAGCGGCTTCAAGTACACCAACCCCATCCTCCTGCGCCAGCTGCAGGGCCTGAACGTCCTCTTCAGCTGGAGGGAAAAGGGCGGAGGCGGTTCCGCGCTTCCTTTGTCGGAAGAGGGCCTCCTGGAGTTCCTGGCAGAGGTCGGTGCCTCGGACTTCACGCAGAAGGAGTTCCGTGCCGTCGCACCCGTGGGCCGCGAGGCCCCGTTTAAAAGCCGACTCCTACGTACACGTGTGTACCACTCTACCAGCGTGCTCCAGGCTCTCGTAACCGGCTTGGTTGGGACCACCGGCTCTGCACTGGCCATCTGGACGAAAGAGAGCAGCCTCGACATCCAGATCTGTCTAGGCAGAGCATCGCAGAGCATCGCAGAGCATCGCAGAGCGCAGAGCGCGGCTGTGTAACTCCGTCTCCTTCCGTCTCCGTGCAGGCCACGACTGCCTCGACCAGGCCGGGGGAACGACATGGGGACAAAAAGGGGGCACCACATGGGGTCACTGGGACCCCCGCGCGCGCCGGTCAGGGCCCTCTGGCGGAGGAGCCCGGCACTCAGAGCCAAAGGTTCGCGGTTCGGTTCCGTCTCAGATCACGTCAGGATCCACATGCATCGTTAAGTGGGCTTCATGCCTGCTCGTGAGGCGTTAAAAGGACGTAGCGGACCTGAGGGAGCATGACAGGATGCGGTCCTCACGCCCTTGTCGCATTTGGCAAGCTCGTCCGTCAGTGGCTGGGACCAAATCCGCACAGTTCGCCTGAGCGCCTGGATGAGATCCATGTGGGTGCGGACTTGCTGGGGTTCCAAATGACGCTTCAGGCAGCGCCAGGCTTGTTCCGCCGTCTGTTGCGACGCAGGAAGTCCTGGCAAGGATCTCCCTGCCACACCACAATGCCACGATGCTGTGACAGCAGCTGTTCCTGGAACCGCTCC